TGAATTTTTTCATTTTTAATATTTACTGGTTTATTTATTTTTAGTTTAAACAGTCTTTCACTTATTTATTTTTAATGTTTTTATCACCATATATCTCCTGTATGAAAATATTTACATATATATGTATATCCTATATAATAAAAGCCTAATATACTAAGTGTCCCATTGTCCAGTTGGCTGTTTGACCAAAAAAGTATAATATGCTAATAAATGCTCTGGTCACTCAACTGCTTGCTGTGATGTGCACTGACCACCAGGGGGCAGACGCTCCTACAAGTAGATGAGCTTGCTGCTGGAGTCTGGCCAATCAGGACTGAGCAAGATGGGCCAGACATCCCCTGGAGCCCTCCCACCATTCCTCCATGGCAGGACAACCTCCAGTGTCCCTCCCTGTTCCCAATCATGTACTGGTGGGGTACCTCAGCCTGGCCTGCACCCTCTGGCAATCAGGGCCCCTCAGTGAATGCCTGAGAGCCAGTTTCAGCCTGATCCCACAAGCTAGGCCAAGGGACCCCACTGGTGCACAAATTCATGCACTGGACCTCTAGTATCTCTATCTATCTCTATCTCTATCTCTATCTCTATCTCTATCTCTATCTCTATCTCTATCTCTATCTCTATCATCTCTATCTATCTATCTATCTATCTATCTATCATCTATCATCTATTCCTTGTAACTTCTTATTTTAAAGTGGTGTGCAGTTATTTTTAGCATTTTTATCCCAGGATTGTCATGTAATGAAGTCTCTGTCTTAGAGTGAAAGTACTATGCAATTATTATGATCACCTAGACTTAATGCTTTAGTGAATTATATTAAGTAGAATTTCCAGTGTGCCTCTTTGATTAAAGAAAAGTCAAAAATATTTTGACAGAAATAACAATGTCATCATGAACTCATCCAATTGATTTATCTAGAAAACATGGATGTCTTGTGGTATGCATATGAGTGTGGAGATGAATAAGAGTGGACATTTGGGCTATCATAAAAAAAATAGTGTCTATGAATGTGTTATTTCAAACATTATAATTTTCTTTAAGATATATTGAATTTGATGTTCAATACAATATCAGATTTGCTAACATGTATCACAGGGCTTCTTTTGTTAAGAAAAAACTGAATTAAATATAATGTTACTTAACAAAATAAACCAGAAACAAAATCTTGCTTTGTATTTACAGATAAGTTTTAATGGAATATTTCATGGTCTAACACAAATATCAGACCCAAATGACACTAATTCTTATACAGCCTTTGGCTTACCCTGTATAACAAAATCTGTTATTTAAAGTAGACTATAAAATACCTTATGGTAAGTGAACTTCCAAAGACACAAAGAAAATCCTCCATAAATTTAAAAGCTTATCTCAAATTTAATTAGTATAAACTTAGGATGAATATATTATTGAATGTATTATTTTAGGTAGTTGGATTATATAATACTAGTTAGAGTGTGGAAATTATAAAAGATATAGGTGTAGGTATTTTTTATTCTGTTCATAGTCAACATTAGTAAACAGACATAAGTGAATGTAAAATTACAGAATTTTGAAATTTTGGCAATCTCAAGCAAAGTTCCCTAAGTCAGCAACATTTTTTAACCCTTAGCATATTACAAGGTTCATATATTCCAAGGAGAAAGTACAAAATGTACAAATAAGATAACATTTATTTTACTACTGCTTAATTTTTAAAACTTCCATTTAGAAACTTAAAAGAAAAATGGGCATCCTTGAGGATATCTAAAATAAGTGAATGATGTATGCAATTTGAACTAAATATAGAAAATAATGTGTTTGGAATAAAGGAATATGTCTTGTAAATCTTTAATAAATTGTCAGTGGGTAAAAAGAAAGTTCCATCTTTCAATGTCTATTTTTAACTCTAATAAAATAAACTAAATGCATAGACAATTCAGTAATGTCCAACAGATAACTAAAATTCAAATTTTATTTTCCATATATATTGGGCAATTTTTTTTTCCTAACAAGGCTTTACTGATAGATGAATTGCAAATGAAAACCCTGTAAGAATGTTTGTAAGGGTTGTACATGACATATTTTAAGTGCCACTAAGTACACATTGAATACTTTGTGAGTATATAGGCATATCAACATGCAAGTGTCATGTACCCAATATTACAATATGCATTTTGTTTTTTGAAAACATTAATGATAACAGCAGATTCAATAACTGTGCAATATGCTTGATTTGTATGGATCTTCTTTATAGCACATAATTTTTATGCTGCCATAAATATACCCATCCAAAAGTTATGAATTTCATATCATATAAATAGAACATTTTATTTTTGAAGCCACATCACTGGGGACACCTGCATTTATTAAATACAATTTTTAGAGATAAGTCTTTAAGTTATTTTTAACATGGCAGACTTGTTTCAATGTTGGTTGTATTTAAATATTTATGATAAAAATGGAGCTTTCTTGAGGGAATATTTTTTGGTTGAATGAAAAGCAAAACAACCAATTCACAAATACTGATGTGAACTGAATATGAAGAAAATGGATTAGTAATCCCAAACTCATACATCCTTGGGTTACTACTTAATTGCATCATTGAATCTACAATAGGTACAACAGTTACAGTTAAAAAATTGTAAAGAGCTTAACATTTTATACATTTAAAAGGAGGAAGAGTACTAGTTTTGAAAAAAATGTCTAAATTATTTTTCTATTTATGAGAGTCCTTCAGTACATTAGAAACACAGAGAAAAGCAAAAAGGATAAAGAGATAATTCAGTTTACATTTTATAGTTTTTTTCTAACCAACTGGTAAACACTGCTTTCAATCATCAAATATTTTATTGCATATAACTTTCACCATCAGCAAATTTAACGAGAAAAGTGACTACTAGTATCGTGTACAAAGAAAAGCATCTGAAGAAAGAAAACATCTGAGGTTGACAGTACTGTGTGTAAGAGAAGTGTACTGTGGCGATGAGACCGCACTTGAAAGTCCGTGTAGGAATCACTGCTGTTCTGACCCTGGATGTAGGAAAAGTGCTTAAGTGCTGAGCCCTGGTAGATTTTTCTTTTGCCCCTGCAATCTTCAAATATCTTTTAACTTGTCTTCTTTTGAAATATACAGCATATTTCATAGAGGGGAAATAGTGGGTTTATTGTTTTTGTTTTTTTACATCTTTTTCACATTTGGGCCCATTCTCTTCCAAATAACCATACATTTCTTGTAACTAGCATATACCTATACTAGTATATGTGTGTGTGTGTATATATATATATATATATATATATATATATATATATATATACAAGTATATAAATATATATACATATATACACATATATGGAAGAGATTATAAAGATAGGATCAAATAGTATTTATAACATAACCATATAACATAGAAACATCTTAGACTTCAAGCATATATTACAGATTTGGGGTCATAATTTGATTTTATTCTCATATTCATTTTTTTTCTAGAGGAAGATCTGCTTTTAAATGTTCATTTCATTTTAGAATAATTAAATTACATAATTTGAAAATTTCATATGTCTGTGCACACAAAATAAAATGGACACTGTGGCAATACTTTGCATTCATTATTTAGAGGTTATTTGTTAATATGGAGGCAATCTTAAATGCTTAAAATTTTGTCTCACATAGATAACACTGCTTGGGAAAATAAATTATATTTATAAAGTTTTACTTAAAAGCATAGTATTACTCACAAAGAAATTGCATTTTAAATTTAAATAAATAGATTGAACTACAAAGTGTTGCCATTTAAATTATTTTAATAAATCAACACAAAGATATTACATTGAAATATTAAATAGGCATGAGAAGATCTGTCCTTTTATAGTTGCAATATTTTGCCTACAGAAAAAGTTAATAATAGAAAAGGAAAACAAATGCAGATCCATACAACCCTGAATACACTAAAACAAGTTGGCTTTTGAGAATTCCCGGGTGTGGGGAGCAGACTGTTACAAGAGCCCCTAAAGAATGCTTCCTGGGATATCTTTTAAATCATCTTTTCTTCTATTTGTATTGAAGTGTCATAGCCCATGTTAAAAGTGAGAGGTAGAAGGGTTATCATAGGTATGCATGGCAGAGAACTTACCAGCTGTATTCAATAATGATTGCATTCAATATTGATAATGCTGATGAGTTTAGAACCCATTCTTATATTTTGTTCCCCTTAGATCAGTTTATAATCTTTTAACTTTCAATCCATTGCCTTTCAAAGGATATAAGTGCAAAGGGCATGTTTGGGGTAGAATAGGGAGAGAAAGGGAGAAATAAATTTTAAAAAAAACAAAGATAAAAAAATTCTAATGAAATTTAGTGACTTTACCTGTTAAAGGTAACCTGTGTATTTGATTAAATAATTTGTACTTATAATAAGGGTGTCACAATTCATTAAACATACACACATTTCAAAGAAAGTTTAAAAATTCTAAATTGAATTAGATATAAATCAATTTTTTCCCTCTCCAGTAAGGCTAAAACTAAGCCAAATAATTTTATTGTGTTACATTAATTATTAGGAAAAACAAAACAAAACAACAACAACAACAAAAACGTAATGTGCCACTGAGGCAGTTATATTTTAAATTAATGATTTAGCATGTAGAAGGTGAAGATTAGCAACCTTTTGGATCTCCTGGAAAATTCTTTAAGTCCCTCTGCATTAAGTATCCAGCAATTGAATTGCAGATATTGCACTGAGTATATTTCAATATTGCCAGTGTATATTTCAAAAGAAATTCTATTATCTACACTAATATTTCCTCTTTCCCAATATTCAAAATGCATATTATAATTACATGGGTTTCAAACATCCATACACAGCAAGTACAAGATACTTACATGTACGTACACTGTAGTTACCTATATTTTGCATAGTTTTTAGTGTGTACTTTGTGCCACTTAAAAAAAGCATTACTCAATAATTGTTATTAGGTGTTTTATTTATTTCAGCTGTCATTGACAGATTTTTGTTTGTCCATTTTGTTTTGTATATTTATCACAGGTTACACTTGCAAAGGGGGATAATATTGGGCATTTATAGAGGGCTCTGAGTAATTAGTAATATGACCAGTAAGTTGTAGTAAGATATGAAGTTTTCCATTTCTCCACAGTTAAAAATCTAATGTAAAATTTCATATTTATCATTTATTAAATTATTCTTTAAGGCCAAAGAAAAAGGAAAAATGTTTTAAATGTTCCCCTTGGTAACACTTTGCAATAAGTGGCACTATATCACACGATAACTGCTATATTACATGGAAGAACCGTCACTGTCACAGCTGCTGTACATGTGCCTATATGGTATCTCAATGCTATTACAGTCATGAGTAAATAACTACACGTGAACTTGTCTTTTAATTGAGATATTTATATATTTTTTACAAAAAATAAAAATAAATGAAGTGTTAGCTTCTTTGCCATATTTAGGAGGAAGTTTTCTTTCTCTGTTTTTATTTATTTATTTATTTTAATTGTGGGGTTTCAATGAAAGATTAAGCTTCTTGAATCAATATCAGATCATCCAGTTTCTAGTTTAAATGCCAATATCAGGTTCCTTAAACTGCTTCTTGAATTCTCTGTTAAAGAAAACAAGTTGAAGTCAATCATCAATCAATCAATGTCTTTCTCCTCTCACACACATGAACTTAAACACACCCACACATGCCTCAATACTCTGCTCATGCTCTCTGTCTTTGTTCTTGGACTCACAAACTTTTCTTTTTCTTCCTAATCTTGATAATTGTTCCATCTAGGGCACTCAAAAATGGAAATAAAGAAAAATACTGCTTATACTTTTTTGATGAAGGACAACCATTTTACATTGTAAACAGTACACTGGCAGAGAATAGCTACTTTGGGTAAAAAATAATGTTCATATCCTACTAGGGTGTGTGTGTGTGTGTGTGTGTGTGTGTGTGTGTGTTCCATAGCTATTATGCTCACTAAGCAGAGACAGAATTTGGCTCTGTGGGTATGAGTGTGCATATTTCATATGTTGCAATTAACATGGGTCCATTTAAAAATGTTATTTCATTTTATTTTAAATTTTATAGAAATAAGCAGCTGTTATATTTTATTTATTTTGTTTGGTGGAAATAAAATAATTTTTAAAATTGGGAAATATAATTCCTTTGCTATTTTTTTCAGTAACTAAAAACAATACTAATTCAAATTTATCTATTGAACTGGCAAAATGTTTGATTAAAACCCAGAAATCATAATATACCAGTTAGTTAGTTTCTTTTTAATACTTCTAATGATTTTCTACATTACTCCAAAGGATTAATTAATCAAAAATCTTGAAATGGATCCCTAATTTTACAGTGTTCTAAATAATGGGAACAATTTAGCAGTTGGAGCAAAGTAGAATATAGATGAAATGAAGAGAGATGTAAATACATCCATAAAGAGTAGCAATTTTGTAAGTGCATCCTGAAATTGGGCTTTAAATAGTAATTGATGATGTAGTTTATATAACTTCTGCAATAAGAACCTTTTCATTTTTTCTAACAGGATGAATTTTTCTTTGTGGATTCTTTCTAAAAGTTATGCGTTGAAATAGATGAACAGTTTATAAACCTATTCTAGTTTCAATGTGTCTAGTAGCACCTACCGGATTCTCTCAAACTACCACACTATATTAACATATTATTGCATTTTTCCACAGATGGTATGAATTGAACTGTAAAAACAAGCATGCAATCACATCAATGCAGACTTATTTCCTTAAAATGTCATACTGTATATGATTTATTATGTTAACACTCAACCACATCATATTATTTATGTTCTGTATATTCTGAAAAAGTGCTGCTTGACTGACATCATCCTTTTTCTTTTGTAAGAAATCAACAAGATAAATGTTTCAACAATAAAAAAAAACAATTTAAAATTCAAACATCTTTAAAGAATTTAAACTTTTTTGATAAGTAATCTAAGATACAGCACCCTTGTCTTCCATTTGATATTAACACTTTATGTCGTACTTGAACATTCTCATTTCCCCCATATGAATTCCAAGATATTTTTAAAACCATAGGACATCATGCTTTGACATCACAAGTATAACTTCCGTATTATCATATTTGTTTTCTTCTTAAAGGTGCAATGCTTGTAAATGGGAAAATAATTTTTACCTAACTGGATTTTTAATCTTTAGCAAATAACAAATGTAATGAGAACTAATCTAACAATATTGTTATTTACTTGAAGAAATAATATAACTTTAGATAACTCTGTGTCATATTTAAGAATACAGCATTTCTTAATGGTTAAATACACCAAAATTCAGAAATAATCCAGAGAAAGAGACTTTCACCTTCGAGGTAAAAGAATGGCAGAAATTCTCTATCACTCATTGTTTCATAAGTTTGTACCTCAAAATGCATAGACAGGAATTTAATATAAAGAATTAGTTCATTTATACAGAAAACATATCTTAAACACTTCTTTTTGGCAAACCAACATAGGCAAGCAGCTCTGGAACTGCCAAATGAAAATTTGTAAAATTTTAACAAACGAAGAGTTTATTTTTAGGTTATTCTATTGTGGTTGTAATTTAAAACCTGAGGCTGTGCACTGGTTGTTAGCTTAAAATTACCTTTCCTTATAACATTGTGCTTCCATTGTATAACAAATAAAAATTAACAAGAACTAGAAAAATTTGTTGTTGAACAGTGCTAGGACATACAGACAAAATACTAATACATGTTATCTACTTTAATATTGGTTTAAGTAATATCTAAAGGGATATAATGGGCATTAGAAAATGCTTACTTATGATTGAATTACCTACAGCCAAAAAGTTAAATATGTATCAAATAATGTGTAATTGGATTTATTATATGCACTATATACAGATACTAAAATGTTTCAAAATTGTGCCCTATGGATATTTCAATTTTGTTTAAGAAGGTGAGTTCTTGTGAAGCAAATAAATTACAGAATCAAATCAGAGCAATGAATGAAATCTTTGTGATTCCCAAAGCAGTAAAATGTTTGTAACAGTTTATTGGTAAACAGCTAAAGTAACCTAATGATGGGAGCTATATAATTATATAAGATACCATGACATGATTACAATTCGTACACATGGCTCCTGTATCAAATGCTATATTTTAAAATAGCAAATTGATGCAGCTTTACCAGTATATATCACAAACAGTCCAGAGCTATACTATAGTGTTTTCCATTTGTGTTTCCTAGGGCATATATTTCTAAGCATGTCCTTGAATAGAGACATGTAGAAAATATTGTCTGTAAACCTCTAATGTCTCATTAAATTTAAGCACATTAGCTCGTCATCTAATCCTGTTTCTTGTGAAAGCTGTCCGATAGCAAACTGACTAAGTCCATGACTTAAAGAGGGTGAAAAATGAGGGGTAAAAACAAAAACAAAACTCTCTGCATACATTTTTCAATGCATAAAAACAACTCAATTATCATGATCCAAGGAAATGATTAACATTGTTAAGGCTGTATATTCAAGCACTGTATGTTAAGAGAGCAATGGTGTGGAATTTAGGCAGTAAGAAATGTCCTGCATTATGAATGGTACGGTAATTAAAGAAGGATGCTTTCGACAGCTGATTGCTGGTATGCACTGGCTACGGATAGCAGTACGGTATGGAAGTTAATAAAGGAAGCAGAAGATGGTAGAAATGAATTCTGAAAGATGATAGCCAGTTTTCTCCAGCAGCCAGCCTGGTAAGTAAAACTTGGAATCTTGGCCTGCATTTTAAATGAAATACTCTTTTTTCTCTTCAGCATTGACTTGGCTGCCTTCAGCATTGATAATGGCTGTGTCAGCATCTGGTGCATCTTCAGCTCCTTTAGCTTCATTTGTTAAATATGTTCCTGCGGGTATTGGAAGAAAAATGTGTTAGTTCAGTGAGACTGGTAAATAGCCAGCATTAAAGCCGCATTGATTTAGGAAGGAACTTATGCCAGATGTTTCACATGTTAGAAATTATTCTGAGGTGTAATAAACCACACAATTTACCCTTCTAAAGTTGCACACTTTCTTTCCGCTTTTAGGTAAACCTTGTAGAGGAAGCTGTGGCCAGGTTAACTACAGGTAACAGCCAAGCGGGAGTGGGTAATGAATACTTTGATTTCTTTAATGATGGATACAGACCATGTGATCCATGCAGCTGTAGCAATCAGGGTCTTTTGTTAAGCAGTTGATAATGATCACATCAAATGTGTCACCATTCCTTTTGGTAACTCCATTTAAAAGTAAATTATATCAAGGGTTTGCTACCTAGCCCATTACAAAAAAGAAACACATATTATTCTCACTAAAATGACCACACGTGTGTCCATAAATCTACAAACAAAAACAATAACCAAAAGCTTAATGTTATAGTTGAATTTCAGTTATAGAAATAAATTATAAACTTGCTTCTGTTTTTGATTTTCCAGACATGATTTACTCTGTGATCTTTGGCTTTGGTTAAACATCATTTTGCTAAGCATACTTAATTTTATTTAGTTTGTAAATATGGTTTTAGTACTTATTTTAGAGAGAAAAGAGAGAAGGAGAGAGAGAAAAAAAACATAGATGTGAGAAGGCAACATTGATCAGCTGCTTCCTGCACGTGCCCTACTGGGATCTAGCCCACAACCGGGCATACCCTGATGGGGAATCGAACAGGTGACCTCTCCCTGCATGAGACAATGCTGAATGAACTGAACCACACTGGCCAGGACAAAGCCAACTTAACTTCACAGCTAAGTAAAAGAATCGAGAATTCCCTGAAATAGTTTAGTTTAGTATTCCTTGAAATAGTTTAGTATTTAGATGTCTCTCTCTCTGTCTCTCTCTCTCTCTCTCTCTCTCTCTCTCTCTCTCTCTCTCTCTCTCTCTCTCTCTCTCTCTCTCTCTCTCTCTCTCTCACACACACACACACACACACACACACACGTACAGTCATATATCATGGTAAAGCAATTATTTAGAATATTTGTGTCAACGTTAACAACACTATTAAAAACAACCCACCTTTATGTCTTGCCAGGTATCGACCAAGCAGAAATATAGAACACAGAGTGACAAATACAACTACAGCCACTATTCCTCCTATAAGAGCATGATCAGGACCAGCCTGGCCAGCCAGAGCATTGGGATCTAGCAAAGAGAAGAAAATATTGTGTAAGTTAGTGTTATTAGTCATACAGTACACATCTGCATTAGAATGAGTTATTAAAAATTACCACATTTCTATTAAAATAATGCTTCATTAACATGTAGTACACCAATCATCTAGTCAACAAATATGTATAGTGTATCTATAATGTACAATATACCTGGGGATACAACATTTCTCCCATCAACCACTGTTGCTTTTGAGTTTTCACTTTAAAGAGAAAATGGATAAACATACTCATGATTTTGCATAGTTTTATGCCTTTTGATCCTCCTCTTCTTCATCTAAAAATATCTATGTGCATATTTTTTGGTAACATGAACACAGTTATACTATTTTTTAAATGTAATTATGTCATGGAAAAGGATGGAGCTGGAGATGATAACCTGGAATTTATCTTTATTTAAATGCTATTTAAAGCTATGAAAGTTGATAAACTTCTTAGAAGAGTGAGTCTAGATAAAAGAAAAGGTCTAAAAACTGAGCCCTGAAAAACTCCCATATTTAAAATCCCAAAAGAGGAAGTGCTTCCAGCAGAGCAGACTGAGAGGAGATAGTGGGGCAGCAGAAAGGATCCTGGAGAGTATGCTGTAGAGGAGGGTGCTACTGATTGTGTTAGTATTATTGACAGAAGGAGGTGAATGAATGCTCAGCATGGAGGATGTAGTGCATGTTGGACTTGTAGTTATAGAGGAGGTGACTGGAAAGATACAGATTAATGATATGCTTTTACATTCTGCCTTTAGAAAGATATTACAGGAAAGAAACGAGCACAGTTTCTGTCCAGTTTTCAAACAGAGATCTAAGAGATCAAAAGAAAGCCCAATCATTGTGATATTGAAAGTCTGAGAAATCTGTTTATAGAAGTCACACAGTAAGGAATAAAATGAAATGAAGCTTTGGGCCACAAAATCTGCCAACGCTCGGCACCTAAAGCAAGGAACAATTTGAAAGTATGGCCTATCCTTCCAAGTCAGCTGTTGCAGATATCACCATAGTAGCTGCTTATAGTCTAAAGAGGGGTTTAGAGGGGGAAGATATAAAGAAATAAGTTAGGCTTCACAACTATACCTTTAAATCTCAGAGGGAAGTTGAGGATGAGAGGTTGGAGGGGGAAGAAATTAACCATATAACTTATATGCATATATGCATAACCCATGGACACAGACAATAGAGTGATGAAGGTCTATGGGTAGGCGGGAGCGGGATGCAGGGGATCAATGGGGAAAAGAAGGGGACATTTGTAATACTTTCAACAATAGGATAATTCTTTAAAGGCATTACCAATGGGCAAAGATTGTTCTGTGTTGTTGTTTTTCTACCATAGAAATATAATCATAGACCTAAAAAAATTATCTTGAGTGTGGTTAAAGGCACAAAAATATGGCACTTTGATTAGAAGTCTACTGTGGTTTTAATAGAACTACTGTGCCCCAAAACATATGTCTAGATAGGAAAAAAAAAAACAAAAAAAAAAACAAAACTCTGACTTTTTGAAACTTAATTCTTTGGACTCCCAAATTTTAAAGGAAGCAAGAGGTAGACTATAAAAGCTATTTAGACTCCATAAAGGTCAGATTCTGAAACCCTCACTTCACATGAGGTCAAGGAGAATGACTGATCGGGTTGAATTTTCCATAGGATAGAATTGTGGGAAGTAAAAAAGAATGAACAGAAGAGAATCCAGTTTCTCCAATGAACTGTAATTTTTGCCAAGGCAGAGTGATCTTTTAATGCCAGTCTGGCATGTTTCCATAATTGCTATGGATCAGTAACTACTCAGTGTTTACCATTCTTCCTCTATATTAAGAAGTTCTTCAAAGAACTTGCATGCATATATGCACTGCCCACGGGTAGTGAAAGCCTGGGTGGGCTGGAACTCGGTGGAGGAGGGCAATAAGGGGAAAAGGGGAGGGAGGGGTCATATGTAATACTCTCAACTATAAAGATTTTTGAAAAGCACTCCCACCCCTCTTGACTCAGTTCTAACACTGTGTTTTGTATATGGTTGGAGAGGAGCATTAGTCTTTCGATCATTTGTTCCTTAGCTAATGCACACAGATATGATGAAGACCATTGAACATATCAGTGATCTTCATCTTTGAGTTGGTTATACTGGCTTGTCTATTTGGATAGGGAATGACAGTGGTTTGTGTGAGGGAACAAACATGAACAAATATTTGGTGATCAGAAGGGTATATTGGAGCAGAGATTTCTAGCTGATAACAAACTCGTTTCCTATTCTTTCAGTTCACAGATCTAAACATTTCCAATCTCTCTTACAATTGAATGTAACCATGTGATTTGTGTTCTAGGCAATTGAATGAAAGCCCAGACATGTAATCCTGCTGAGCAATCTCGGGAGATACAAGCTGAGAGAGAAAGACAAGTATCACATGGTCTCACTTATATGTGAAATCTAATGAACAAAATAAACAGATGCACAAAATAGACCCAAAGGTATAGAATAATATGGAAGAGAAGGTGGAGGTGGGAGCATGGGGAGTGATTAACTCGGGAACATGCGTATATACACACAAACAATAGAGTGGTGAAGGCCTGGGAAGGAGGGGTTCCCCAGGTCAATGGGAAAATAAACAAAGAAACAAGCAAACGAGATATCTAATACTTTCAACAAGAAAGAAAAGAAAAAATAAAATAAATAAGAGAGCCACAAGAATAAGGTAATGGGTCAATAAATCTCCACCTGGAAGAAATTACCCAACTAAGAATATATGAATTGAAATGCTTTAAAAGAATGGGGGGCGGGCTGTTACTAAAAAACAATGAGCATTAATTGGTTAATCTGTTATAGGAGCTATTGTTAATTTAGCTTTCTATTATATATTTATTGAATTTTTTTAAATTTCTGGCATTGGCTGTAAATCTGAAAACAAACAAAACAGGTGAGAGGGGCCAAACATAAACCTGCCTTGCCTCTAAATTACCTGTTTGTGTTCCTTGCTTAGATACTTTAGAATCACTTTCACACTCCACCTCTTGCTCAGGTCCCCAAATACAGGTAGTCAAAATTCATATCCATTTTATTTCCTGAATATATCTCAGAACTAAACATTCTTTTGGGAAACTGAGAAATCAGATTAGTTTATTTGCTTTGGTTCATGAAATTTTTTTCTACTCCAAATTTGAAGAATAATTATTCTTTTAATTTCTTCTTTGGAATTCAATTTGTGCACTGGTAGAAACTCCATATTTTATGTTGTGTATATATCATTCCCTCCATCCTATTTTAAAATGATTTTATCAATTTACATTTTGATTTAATTATATTTTCCATGTTTATCCTCCTTTTAGTTTATTTCATTTTCTGCCATTTCTCATTCCTTCCAAAAGGTCTTTATCAATTGTGACTTTGGTTTAACTCTGCTCTCTGTTTAACCCATTCTGTGCTTAGTAGATGTTTTTTAATTTTTTTATAATACTGACAACAAAAAGTTCTTATTTTCTTCACTTAGTATAATAATTATTTTTAGACATCTTGTAAAATGTTTTTACTTTGTATGCATACATTATTTTTATTTTATTATTTTTTTCCATTGAGTGCAATTAAAAAACTACTAGTCTTAATAAATGAATTTGGCAATGTAGCAAGACACAAAATTGACATCCGGAAATTCATGGCGCGCTCTCTCTCTCTCTCTCTCTCTCTCTCTCTCTCTCTCTCTCTCTCTCTCTCTCTCTCTCTCTCTATATATATATATATATATATATATATATATATGCCTAAGAGACTGGCCAACTGGCTGACCAGCCAACCAGCCAGTAGCTATGACACTCCCTGACTTCCAGGGGGGCAGAGAATCAGTGCAGGAGCTGCCAACTGACAGCAACTTTGTAAAGTGCCCTCTCACACTCCGTGACCCCTCAGGGGATGTTGGACTGCTTGCCTTGGCCCAATCCCTGCAGGCCAGGCTGAGGGACCCCAGTGGTGCACAGATCCATGCACCAGGTCTCTAGTACATCAATGATGAACTCACAGAAAGAGAAACTAAAAAAAAAAATTCAATTTATGATTGCAACAAAAGCATAAGATATGTAAAAATAAACTTAACTAAGGAGGTAAAATACCTGTATTTAGAAAACAATAGGATATTGAAAAAAGAGACAGAGGAAGACATAAACAAATGGAAAAAATATACCACCACGTTCATCGATTGGTAGAATTAACATTATTAAAATGTCCATATTACCCAAAGCAATCTATAGATTCAATGAAATTCCCATTAAAATACCAACAGCATATTTTACAAAACAAAACAAACTCTCCAAACATTCAAATGGAATAAAAAAAGACCCCAAAGAGCCCCAACAATCCTGAGAAAGAAGAACAAAGTTGGATGGATCATAATTAAAAATTTACCACAGCATAGTATTGTATTGTGTAGATATACCACTGTTTTCTAACCCACTAATCTGCTGATGAACACTTAGGCTGTTTCCAAATATTATATTTTGTAAACTGTGCTACTATGATCATAGGGGTACATATATCTTTCTGATTGGTATTCCTGTTTTTGGGGGGATACATTCCTAGAAGTGGGATTACTGGGTCAAATGAGAGTTCCAGTTTTAGTTTTTTGAGGAAATTCCAAACTGTTTTCCACAGTGGCTGAACTAATCTGCATTTTCACCAGCAGTGCATGAGCGTTCCTTTTTGTCCACATCCTTGCCAGCACTTGTTCTTTGTTGATTTGTTCATAGCCATTCTGACAGGTGTGAGATGGTACCTCATTGTCATGTTAATTTGCATCTCTCAGATGATTAGTGAGTTTGAGAATATTTTCATATGTCTCTTGGACTTCATAATGTACCCTATAAAAAAAGTATCTATGTAGGTTCTTTGTCCATTTTTTTATTTGATTGATTATCTTCCTTTTGTTAAGTTTTATAAATACCCTATACATTTTGGAGATTAAGCCCTTATAGAAGATAAAACTGGCAAATATGTTTTCCCATCTAC